ATAATATATAATTATTCAGTTTTCAAAGGCGCACATTTCATCCTGTTTTGGAACGGGTTTTTTAAGAAAAGATCTTAATAAATTTTAAACAAAGTTCTGACATCGGGAAAGACTGTTATTGTATAACTCTTGAGTGTTTCTAGATATGGCGGGAGCAACGAGAAAATGGTATCACACGTTTTTGCAGTATAATCCAGATTGATTGATCGAACTATGTAATTTAACGGCTACATATGCATTTTTCAAAATAGGGAAAGGTCAGGAACTAAAGAGATGCAAGGTATAAAGTATATACAGAAATGTGCGCCTTTGAAAACTGAATAATTATATATTAGTTTCATGTTAATTAAATGATAAAACCGGTGGTATTCTTTCAGCTTTTATACTAGAGACGTAGGCGCATGTAACCAGAACAAAATGAAGATCAGATTTCGATCCCCACGAAATATCGGTGACCAACCATGAAGTATTCAATAATCAAATATATAAAAGCCTGTTTAAAATGTCAACAACATAATATAAATCGTCAAAAGAAACATGGTAAATTACGTCCTATACCACCACCTGAGGGACCCTTTCAGTTGATCAGTATCGACTACTGTGGGCCTTTAAAACCGTCTCCTCGTGAAAATCAATACGTCCTCGTAATAACAGATTATTTCACGAGACATATCACAGCAGTTGCATTACCTAATTGTACTGCACAAACAACAGCTCAAACATTATTTAATGAATACTTTTGTAAATTTGGTATATCAGCAGTAATGTTAAGTGACCAAGGACCGCACTTTCAAAACATACTGATGGAAAATATCATGATCACAATCACGGTTCTCAACTATAAAAAAACGATCACTTTTTGTCTTCCTTTTATGCGTTTACGGGCGTTTTTTGGCTGAAAACGCGTTTAAGTGCACAAAAAGGACGAATAAATCAGCCAACTTTTCGCCAACTTTTTAGCTTTTTTTGGGCGTTTAAGCGCGTTTTCGAAAATTGTTTAACGGAACCATATTACTGGTTACTGAGCTCGTTCATGACCAGAGAATAAAAGTTAAATGATGTCCGAAACAGCATTTAATTCAGAGTTAACTTTCTGACCAAATCTGCTTCGTCTTAGCTCATTTAACTGTTGTACTGTGAACGTGGTCAATGTATCAAAGACAACGCTACAGGCCAATACACAAATGTGTGTATGTACGTCCGCCAGACTAATCTTTTATGCTGTCACGTACCAGCATCTAGCACTCTGCCTATCAACCTTTTCCGTTTTTCACAAATTTTTGCTCGACGATCTTACACCCAAACTTCGAACGTTTATAGGATTTGAGCGAAAAATGATAGAGAACTCGTCGACGTCTTATTTTGTGGGAAAACTGAACGCTTTTTAAGAAAAGATATTTTGAGTTTGACCTGATTTTCAGGAGCGTTTTTAGAAAACCGGCCATGGGTTTTGATATAACACACCTTTTTTTCTTTTCATCAGCAGATTCAGCGTCAAAAGCTAGGCAGTTCAACAAAGTTTCGATTTGTGCTCGCATTCCTGCAGGAGCTACAGTACAAAAGCTTAAGGGTTTCACGAATCTTTTCAGTGGTTCTTGGCTTTTAGCTTCGTAAAGCCAGCTCTTTTTGTGATATATCTCGAACGCCTCCGATATAGTGAGGTGTATTTCAAATTAGTGAAACAAACTGATTTTGCTCGCTCAAAAACGTCTGTAAAACAGAAAAATCCGTGTTGACCGTATTTCAGTACTTGGCATTTTCTTCTCAAGAACTCAATTTTGTGTTCACTTCTTTTCTAACATTCGTGATAAGCGCCGATTTCTGAGAAAAAAATGCACCTTTAACTCTACTACGAGAAAACAACTTTTTTTTCAGATTTTAAAACTGATCCTTTACAGTTGAATTTTCCGAAACATAAAAGCAGGCTTCCCTAAAAGTGAAGCGCTAATTCCGAGTATGTGACTTTTGTTGACGTTGGTTTTGGGCCAATGCATAAAATTACCGGTCCGCATCCTTTCACTGCAGACGTGATTGTTTGTTTGTGGAAATATGTTCTAAGAAAGTTCATCGCTCTGTTTGTACTGAAAAGTTGCACTTTGCTACAGACTAAAGACATGCACCTTTTATTATTTATTTATTAGTCGCCAACTACTCGTCCGGAGGAACAAGAATATAAAGATTTTAAAAAGAGTTATGAAAGTGCAGTGGTCTTATTCTTACTTGCACGTTTATTATCTGGCTTTGCTGGAGGTCAGTGTAAAAAAAATTCGTTTTATTTTTTTTCATGTCCAAAGACCATTCTTTGAAAGCGTTTCTCCTTTTCTTCTCTAGGCATGTGCTCTGTGATCAGGTAAAGTGCAGTTTCGCTCATCACATTGCTTACATATACTTATGTGTGGAGGGGCAATTTTTGAGAGAAAGCCTTAGTTATGCTTTTTTAAGAAACGCAGTATTAGCATAGTGAACGTAATTGAGGGTAGACATGTTGCGAGTCAAATGTCGGACAAAAAAGTTATGATTTTTCGAAAAAACGACAGCTTTCCAATTTTTGATTTTCTTCCGCCGAAAATGTGCACTGATAATCTTTTAAATAAGATATTCGTAATCAGGGTAAAATTCTGCATTGAATGACATATATTTGAGCCACAAAAAGGATTTTGCTTAAACTTTGAATTTGGAGCGCCTTAATAGAAGTGATTGTGTCTTTTTGCTAGTGCTAGTTATACATTGAATGAAATCAAACGCAGGTACTTGAGAAATTTATTTAATTTAGGTAGCGATTACAAGAAAAGTCTAAAGTGCGTACAAGGTAATAAACTATCGCATTACTTTGGGTGCTAACTATAAAGAAAAGAAAGTTACAACACAAAACGTCAGTTTACTCAAAGTGTTCCTTCGGCGGCGAAGGAAGCAATGCCGCATACATTTGTTCCTCTTGCAATACGACCATAGCCACCTTCTCCCCATGTCGTAGACCAGCTATTTTTCACTTTCCAATAATTCAATTGCAATGTAGAATCATAACCATAGCCAACAAGTGTCACAGCATGATCTATGTTACGTGGGTCACAGTCTTGTGTCGACAAGTTAATAACTCCAGTTTTATAATTTTGAAACGCCGATGTGTTTGCATTAATGCCCACGAAAACTGGTCCTCGATTAACAGCTTGCAAGAGGGCAGCTTCATCACCAGATGGTACATTCGTGTAGCCAATATTAGGTCCGATTATTTGTCGCGAAAAGCAGCTGGCTTGGCAATCTTGTTTAACGGCTGCGTAAGTATAATCAGCCCAAAGAGTTTGACTTCCGTAGTTGGAAATCAAATATCGCATTGGAACGGTGAACTCGCCGCCGTTACAAGCACCACTTCCTAAAAGGAAAAGAGAAAAAAAGGCTTGGCAGAATAACAGCTTTGAAGTTGAAGGGAGAGGGAAACCACAATCGATACAATGAAACTCCGACCGGATGGAATCAGAGAAGTTCACAACATTTCTGAGCTATCCTGGCTGTGAACGCCGACTGACGCGAGGCGTGAGCATTGTCTTGACTTTAGCAATATTTGTAGACCTTTGTAGGGTCTCGAGAAAACGTTTTAGATTTGCTTACAGAGTCCTGTTATATCCAGGAGCTTGTTTTTTTTCTATTTCTTGGCATTTTCAACAAAGCGTACAGCGCATATCGTAAGGCCATTAGTAACTGGAGAAGCAGGACAACTGGAAAGAGGTTTACCGCATTTTACTTCTACTCTTCTTCCATGGCAGAATTATAAGCCGATAGTTTCACAAAAGAAAGTTCTTTCTGACCTTACCTGAACAATCAACTATTTCTTGTGTACTTAAATTCAGCAACATCCCCGTTTTCTTTGCCAGCAGTCCCTCCACAACTGCCGTGGTAGCAAACGCCCAACAATCACCGCAAGAACCCTGATCTTTTGGCGGAGTTACCCGACCCATAGCCACCCAGTCTAATGAAGCCGGAGTTGTAACATTTCCCTGCGATTCCATGAAGACTGAACGGCGGTTTCGAGTATAATTTCTAGGGTCAGGTATATAACCTAAAAAAGAGAACCAAAGAAAACGTTATTTCTAGTAGAAAACCCAAGCGTCGTGGACTACTGACCTTTTTTCTGTTCATTAAATTCTTGTTCAGTCAAATCTGAAAAACTATTTAATTCCAACTTATATGACAGGTTTTTCGAATTAACACTTAAAACATGTTGTATACGCTGACTGAAAACCTGTCGTCGACGATCTTCTTCACTCGAGTTATGATAACGGCGGCCGTGTTTCTGTTTAAATTTGTCGAAAACAAGTTTTACAAGCGTTTCATTTTTATGAAGATCTTTTATTGGTGTTGCTGAGTTGTTAACCAAGCCTGACGCATAGTCCTCGAGGGACTGGGGAGTGAACCGTTTAGTTCGGTCAAGATGAAGGTCTGAATGTTCGCCGCCTTCGGCTAAATCTTCGAAGGAATTAACATGGTAAGTGCTGATAAAAAGAATTAGACCACCAAGGAAACAAAGAAATGATGTCATCTAAAATACATAAAAGGTCATCGATTCCAAATAAAAAACATTCGACCTGGCGCGGTAAGATCACATCTAACGGTTAAACAAGGAAAGATAACAAAGACTATAAAAGTTGTTAAAACACAAAAATTAATAGCATACTCAATTCCTCGTACCATTGATCTACGGACACATCTTGTTTTTTCTTTTACAAAAAAGAATAACGATGTACAATAATCAAAGATTTTCTTCTTTGCGATATCATCAATTAACTGATGACAGCACTTTTTATGTTATATCTTAAAACTGAATAGAAGATTTCCCTTTACGATCAGTGCATCTTTAACTTGAGCGTAAGGATTATAGGGATTTATTTAGTTAGATGACAAGACTTGCGCTCCAAGTGTTACGTGAGCGTAGTTTCGAAAGTCGGGTTGGGATGAATCAGAGCTGCGTGGATCAAAGCAACGCATCAGGGAAAATCACCTGCTGGGGTAAACGCATTTTTACAAACTTACTCTTGAAAGAACTGTTTCTCGTACTCTTTATTCGGCTCTCCATAATTTTGTTTACAAATTATATTGTGAAAATAATGAATAAGACATTCAGTGACATAATCGATGTGGAAACAGAAGAGGAGTGTGAAAATGTTGACGAAAATTCTATTTTGTTTTTGTTTAAATTTGTAACTTTCATTCGATGAAGTTGTGCTGCTTGAAAACGAAGAAGTCCACGAAATAAGAACATTTTTTCATCTCAATCTACATTCTTTTGTAACACTCTGTTTTTTGATTCTCTTTAAAACGATTTACGTTATTATTAATTTTTATATTAGAGTTTTCTCATTGAGCGCATCTTTATCTTTTTCGTGATGTTGCATGCAAATTATCTTCTTTCTGTATGTATCCTTATGTCTGACATACAAATATCTGCATGCGACATCGAGAAAAAGATATGCTAAAAGAGAATACTCTATTCGTTTGTCCTGTTCTCATGTGATTTATCCGATGAACTGAAATATTTTTAGTTTTTCTACTTACCCGGTCTTTTTCTAAACTTTTTATATTTCCCATACCTCGTTAGAAGACGTGAAAAAAAATGAAGTGAGAGACTGATATGCGACAAAACCGCACAAGAAAAGCAAACCCAGAATAACGAGAGAAACCAGCAAAAGAACAGTCAGAATCGTATGTCATTCGTACGTAAGATCGTATATGATCATACAAAATCAGACACGATCTTATGTAATCTTACTATTTCGTATGTAAGCCCTCATAGCATCAGATACGATCTTGCGCATAATTGTTGTACCAAACGTGTAGTGTGGGTCCTATGACTTTTTCTCATAGATCATGATTCAATACAATACAGATTGTTAGTCAAAGAATCTTTCTATATCCTTGCAAATAATCCTAGCCTAAACAAAATAGTACTACAAAGTCTTTAAATTCTGTCACAAAAAACAGCATGAAATACTCACGTATAGCGCACGTGGGTCCCGAATAGCCCCTTGGACATGCGCAGGTATTGGGAGATGAACAATTTCCACCATTCAGGCACGCGTTGGCGCATACAGCTGAAAAAAGAAGATTTACATCAAAGACAATGAACAGGAGATTATGCAAGAATATGTGCTAGTGCCGTTTTATAGAGCTCAGCTTGCTCTCCCGGATGGAGTGAGTGGGGAGTCACCGGAATCCAGTATCGAGTTTAGCGGGAAACTTCATGCATAAAACGTGTTATGACTTTCAAATTCTCATTTTCAACTTCTCACACGAAATCTTTCACTCTTGGACCCATCTCAAAGTCTCCCTCCGATGTCCAAACTTCTCCATGTAGTTTGTTTTATGTGTTCTTTCTAAATATGCCTTTTGATCATGTCCTAATGCACCGAAATGCGGTCCATGGTAGCTAGAGATATCACACTTTCGTAGTTTCCTACAGCACACTATGGCCCATCAAACACAGTAGTTGAAACTCCAACTTCATTGAAATAGCTGGGAAGTGCATACAATTTTCTCGAGAGAAGGGGCGAGTGTGAATAATACTACAAAGTCTTCAAGTTCCATCAGAAACAGAATAAAATACTCACGTGGAGTGCATGTCAATCCCGAATATACCGTTGATACCACTACAACCAATGATAAAGTAGCTAAATATATTATATTCATTATAGCGAGTGGAAGATACAATGCGAGTTATCTCGCATTTATATAGAACGCAAATCTGTGTATAGAAGAGAAGACAATCGATACAGAAGTAATTTGTGACAATTAAACACACATGATACCCATAAACATAAGAATGTAATAACAGTAATTTTCATTTTATCACTGCTGTTACGTTCTCATGTTTATTAATTCTGTATTTTTCGTATTATAACTGCTGTTACAGTCTTATGTTTATTAAAATTTTGCCTATTCGAGAAGATAATGTTTACATGCTGTTCAGTTGTTGCAAATAAATGAAACTCAAGTTACAGCTTCAGTCTTGCATGATGTGATGTGATTGCAG